TATACAATGAAATTATAACCTCTTTAGAGAAAACATTTTAGGAAAAAAATTTTACATTTTAAATTTGGTTAAAGTAACGTGCTTTTAACCAAAATGCTACAAAAATGTCAAGTTTAATCTAAACCCTGTATACTGTATCCATTTATGAAATATATGATGCAAGGTAACTACATTCTTCAATTAATTAATGCACAACATTATAGCGAGTGTTTTACATTTTCTTAAGTATATAGAATAAAAAAGCTAAATTACTTTACCATTAACTTATAAGCTATATTATTGATACACATTAACATACTGTTTCAATTACGTCATAAATATGATAATAACGTATATACTGTCCATTGAATTCACAGTTACTTTAAACTACATAATGATTGCACTTATTAATACCAAGTTCACAATGTTGTAACTTGTAGTACCATTGTATCCTATTAAAACCATTAGGCTTAACTTCTAGTCGATGAAGTTACTCTTATAATCATAATTCAAAAGGAAATAATCTATATTAATACTTTTTATTAAGAAAATGTACAGTTTTATTAATCTTTTAACTAACTAACCTTTTTTACTGACAAAAACTCTAAGAGAGGGAAGACCAGATGGCGATCTAAATACGATCCAATTACTGTCGTCAGATCCCACTCTGCCATGTTGATATCGAGAGAATAAGAAAACCTGCGTGATGATAATTAAACCACGAATAAAAACGGACAGTGCCAGAATTTTCATTTAATGAAACGTATGAATAAATAAATATATAAAAAAATAAATTCTGAACAGAAGCTCTTTGTTCTAGAAAAAATACGTGATTGATAATGATTCTCTGCGAAGTATGTATTTCATACTTGTAGGTAACATCATATATATATGTATAGGTTTATGACAAAGTTTTTCACATGTGACATGATTTCGAATAGTTGAATACTCGAGCAAAGCTACACGAGGATTATCTGTACTAGCCATCCGGAATTTTGACCTGTTACATTAAAGGGAAGGCATGTACTGCCAACTCTTAAAACGCTCTAATGAAATAGTGGTATCTAACCATCATTCTTATAACACACCAACGATCCTAAAGTGCGGACCATGATTTGTGACAACTGGATGCAAGCCATATCAACCCATATGTGTTTGGTTTAGACAGTGTCGCTCAAGGACTAGGAAAGTGGAATAATTCATTCGTATTGCATCTGTTTTATGGTACCTAAACTTTCAACGTCACGGGGATACATTTCCTACCCCTTTGAACACTATAGAATTAGTGTGTATTTAATTTCGTTAATTAGAATTGATTTATTTGTTATTAAGCACAAAGCTACACAATTGGCTATTTGTGTTGTGCCCACTACGGTTATCGAAACCCGAATTTTAGCATAATAAGTTCAGAAACCTACTGTTGAGCCACTGAGGATAATCAGGATTGAATAGATGTTATAAATGACACGGTGTACTGTAAATTCACCCAAATTTTGGTAGACAGTTTGAAGCTAAGGTTTGGTTCATATGGGTTTTGTAATTCGCAAACAACTTATCATTGCTTCCTCATTCTGTTATACAGGTTGTCATAATGTTAAAAGCAGAAATTGCAGGAAGTTGTGTCTGTAAATTCATTAATGTTGAGACTATCGAACGTCGCGTGCAATACATTGATGTCGAGGATGTAGAGATTTCTAGAAGATGGGCAGAGGATCGAGTGATAAACATATAAATAGTGTGAGACGAGCGGAGTAAAGTTACGGCCAAGGAAAAGTTCGGCGTGAAATTAACTACTGTAGAAGTGATAGGCCTAACGATTAACATAAACCTAGCGTTTAATATGTTAGAGTAAAATTAACAGTAGAAAAGGAGATAAGAATAATATTTTTTGTTTCGTCAAAGCGTGGTTATAAAGTAATTGAATCAGCATGAGTGCAGTTTGACAAAAATAACAGAGGATATATTGAAGAAAGAAGACCAAACGATTACGGTAACTCGCGCCACAACTGTAAGTGAATCACACACAGAATACTAGTGCAATAGTAATAGAGAAGACAGTTTGCTTGTCAACTGAAATTCTAAAGCAATTGAATAAGCCTAAGTGGACTTTTGAGAAGAAGAAGAGAACTATATACATAGTGTTTATGATATGCCTATAATCTCTATAGTGTGAATAATTTGCTGTCATACGTTTAACTTGTTCCGAATATATATATTATTTTGAAAAGAAGTGAAGTGCGTGCTGTTCATTTATGGTTGAATTTATCGCTAACAAGTCACAGACGTCTACTGGAAGCATTCTAAGCCCAACAACAACATAGTATATATTTATGCGATTAAGAAATATAACTAAACGCCTTTTAGTTTGACAATTGGCGAAAGATTGTATTTTAAATTCTGACAACCTCTAATAACTGACTTATCATGCCTGCCAATATAACTGTTCAAATATCATCCAAATTTGATAGGGACCATTTTAGCCGCTTATAGGCACAAGGTATTTTGCTTACATTTTACCATTTCGTATTCATTGTGTGGAATTAAAATGCCATTTATTAAATTGTACAAGTGTTTTACTGTTCAGCAATATTCAGATCTCTTCTTGAGGCCTATAATTTAGACGTTTGTGTTGTTATTTGCCAGAGGGGGTTTGAACATTACATCATAAGTGCGTGGTTTAACATTTAAAAATTTTTCCGTTAATCGGACAACAAGCCATGATTAAGTCAGTTTGTTGCTGTCATCCAGTTAGTCCAATGCTGTAACTTTTGATGGCGTGTTTGTGAAAAAGTACAAGAGATTCAAAATGAACAAGTGAGCGGAGTTTCTGTTTAAACGTATAGTATTCTCAGGTTCACTGATTTTCCTTTTAGATAGTAACAGTAACTAGCAGGAGGAACGGCAAAGATATATATATCATACATTTACAACTAATAATTTGATTTGTATGAGGTGAAGAAAAGAGACTTGATACTATATTAAAGAAAGTAAAATTTATACTTATTGAATGCAAAACAATTAATCTAAAAGAGTGCATAGAATATCTAACAACTCTTCTAGATTACAGAAAGAGACTGTAGTCTATGAAGGTATTCTGAACAAGTTGTTCTGTATATATTCGATAGATTCTGTGTCCTAGACTGAGAGAGCATGACATTATATACACAGAAACAACAACAACAAAAACACACTATATCCCCCCAAGCTTAGGCACTACTCGTTGTATTCAGTATAAATAAAAATTACATTATATTAACGAAATGTGTGAATGATATTTGAAAATTAGTGTGCAATCCCTAAGTATATTAATCAAGTTTATTTCATTTGTACACTTCTCATTCTTATCATTTCAAGAGAATTTCATTATTTCACATTTGATAAACAGCATAATAATGTTTTGTATCAACATTTGTTCATTACATATGTGCTGCTTCTGGGTTTGAAGAACGATTCTGTATGTGTTTATATTTTACTTGTAGCTATCATCAGTGTTTGGTGACTGGTAACTATACCTTTGATATCAACTTGTTATATATGTGGTGCATGAATATCATCTATTTATATTTATATAATATGTAAACTACAATATATAATAACTCGTGTTTTGTAGAAAAATGAATGAGATGGATGCTAACTGTTTTTTAAAGGTGGTGTAACATAAAAAAGTTAGTATCAAGTGGCTCAGTGAGAATAAAGGATCTTATAAGATGTAGCAAGCTTTACAGTGATGATATTCATGATTACTTTGAGACGAGCTGGAAGATAATACTGAGTTAACTATCAGCTGTCACAAAGAATGTGTGTCAGCATACACGTTAGCAGCTCATATAAGTAAGCCACTAAAACATCCAGGCAGTAGATCAAGACCTTCAAGTGAAGCCTACCTCCTGCAAAGAGGTCTTGTTGTTCAGATGAGTTTGAGTCTGACTTACACCTGTGCTGCATAATCTGTGTAATTGCAAAAGTCTCATATCATTCAGATCAATGATGCAGAGTTGTTTTTGTAGGACAGTAATTTGTGGGCTAGGTAGGAAAATATTCAAGCAAAGAAGCAAACAAGGTACCCATACTGTGTCCGACTGTAATACTGTTTCCCAGCTGTTTGAATTTGGTAAAGTAACATTAATAATCAAGCTTCTAGTTGAACGTATACATATTCGACGATTTTTAAGACGCATGTAGGTCAGCTGTTCAAAGAGATAACAAAATTTTTATCATGACTTGCTATAATTAAGCAAATGCTCAGGGTATGTACGAAGCTCAGAACTATGTCTTGTTCATCAAAATGCCCAAGAAAAGTAGAAACTCAGTGCATAAACACAAGTACAAACCCTCACTGACAAAGACATTTACTGAGCATGTGAAGCGAGTACAGCAACTTAGCATTAGTCTCTAATTCCCCAGACCTAACATCAACCCAGTACGCATGATGAAACACTCAAGTCACTTGTAACTGTAACTGAGTTTGTTCTTTGGTGTCGCACTAGCACCAACAAATGATGATTCAGATGACTGGATATGGCTATGCCAGTTGCTCACTTAGATGCAGGTGTTGTCAAAGTAGTATTTTACGAACTAGTATTTTGTGTGTGAAGCTGAAGCCTGCAGGAATGACTACACGTCAGTAGCAGCATCTTTCAGTGATGATTCTGAGCTAGGTAATAATGATGAAAACTAAATATAATCTTTCTGAGAATGACCAAAAACTCTTAAAATGACAATTTTCTATGCTACTTATGTATTATTTAACTGTAGCAGTGTCAGATAACACTGAAAGTTTCTCATTTTTATTAAAAAATAAAATAAAATATAAAAATTATATGTAAAAATGTATATTATTTGAAGTATTTTCATCATTGTTTTCAAAACACCTAACACTTTTTTTTCTCAAAAATACAAAGTGGCACCCAGTTGATTTTTATTTAGCACTTTCAAAATATGGAAACGACAGAAACACATCAGATAGGCCTTAGAGCACACTTTTCTAGCTCTCTGTTGGACCAACAGTTTGAAATAATTTGCACAGTGAATGGATGGAAAAGTGAACAATGAGCTATTCATCTTGTTGCAAATTAAAAAGGGACCAGCTTTAACAATATTAAGCAATACTCCTACAGAAAACTGTAATATCAACCAAGAATTAGTGGTCACCTTACCGAATTGATTTGGAATGTCACATCAAAAGATCAAAGTTTCTAAAGTAAAGTTTAAGAAGAGAGTAAGAAGGAAGGACGAGACCTTGCTGAAGATGTGGAAAGAATTGCACAATTATATTATCCAGATGCTCCACATGAAAAGATGGATTCGTTATCATGTAACCAATTCGTAGATGTCATAGTGGATGAGGATGTGTGAATTAGGCTAAAGCAAAGTAGATGTGCATCTTTAAAGGAAACTACATAGTTGGCTATGTAACTTGAATCAATTAACATTGCAAATAAACGGATAAATGTACCATCTTGGAACATTCGATCACCATTTCAAATACCGTGGAACATCAACTCCCTCTGGATTCTACAAGTACTCAAAAGGTTAATTAGACAACTGTTTACTCTGAATGGAAGAATTATTGCAGGACAATAAGTGTTTCAACCAGAACTTATGAAAAACGTATTGCCAGGAACTACAGACAAAAATCTGTAGGAAATAAAACTACTCCAATGGTTGTCAGAAAAAAAGGGAA